CCAATCAGAATGTGGTGACGTCATACTTTTGCGACTTCGGGAAAAACTGCAGTAAAACAAAAAACTGTCCTAAGCTGCAAGAAACCGCCTCTGTCTGCCGATCAATGGACCCCGACCCTTTAATAAACGCTAAGCAAAACTGATATTGTCCTTGCAACATTGGAATTTCATAAATGCATGAATGGCTTGGCGCGCCAAAGAATAGCGTCACAACAATGTGATTGGTCACTTGCAATGTTGAACCTGGAACAACATTTTCATGATGATCTGGGAACAACACCGACACGACGATATCAGATCATCCAGGGGTCAGGCCGAGGGTCGTTTTCTCATCCACTTCAGAAGGACCCAGGTCTTTTTGTAACTGCAGCTGTCGCCCCCTGTTGGCAAGTCCGGGCAGCTTCTACGGGCTTTGATTTTCAGGCCTTCAATTCCAAAAAACTCTGGATGCACTTCAGAAGGACTCGAGTGACTTTGTTCTTTTACGTGGCCGAAATCTCCCCTGTGGTCCAAATGAACAGCAAACCTTGTGCTGCTGGAAATCATGAAAAACCTGTTTTCCTTTGGAGGTGATGCTTCTGGAAGTCAATGATCCCAATAACAATGATTATGAGATGGTAATACGATCGTTCCTAATGAAACTGTCCACAGCCCAGCGAGCCCTCTCAGGTCATCAGCTTCAGATCTTTGAACTGTTCCCAGAAACAGATCCAAGCTGGAGCTGCTTTCAGTTTCTGCCTTTTGATGATCGATTTATCGATTAAAGTCGATTCTGACTTGGATAACGTGAAATTGATTCATTAAAATCCTGAATCGATTTTTTAATATAAATTTATTTTGCCCAAAACGCCAGAATCTCAGGTTAAAGCTTCAGGTTAAAACAAAATTTCAACAACCACCAAACAGCTGAAGCAGTAACTGAGAGCAGGAACACGGACTCTGCACAAAGACGTAAACACGAAGCGCCGACCCGACGCATCAGAATCAGTGAGATGTCGCCTTTCTCACCCGACGGCACGGACACGGTCACGCCGTCGGGGCTGAAAGCCGACAGCTCGCTGATTTTGAAGTGTCGCTTTGTGTTTACGTCCTTTTTGCGCTGATTCTGAAGCTGCAAACAATATTGACCGAACCAGCAGCCAAAGACGATCCAAACTACGCTTCACATGAACACCGTCATGAATTTCCTCGGACTTTGGCTGTTTTGCTTCCACCACGATCACACTCATGTAGAGCTCTCTCTCTCTCTCTCTAAATCGATAATCAGAGCCCACCCTTATTACCCACCATCTACACTGTCGGCCGCTGTTGGATTTTTTTATTTTTAACTTACTTCCAACAGAAAGCCTCATTTCTGCTGTTCGATACTGAACAAATTGAAACTTTTTAAAGTTTGCAAAACGCTGAGCTTTGTCTCTAATCAAACCTCTGTAACTTTGCTCTGCTTCACTTCGTTTCTGACAATATTTTTAAGGTCATCTGCTATAAAAACACAGACCAGGAAAATCGCCTTCATGTTTTTGTGTTTCATCCTCAGTTACTTTGACACAAAGCCGTCTGCTGTGCTGCTCACACCTTTGATTAAGTCTGGCAAGTGTCAGCTTTCTTTTTATAGATAGAAAAATATAGATATGTACTGATAAGCAGTGTTGGTCAAGTTACTTGAAAAAAGTAATCAGTAACTAATTACTGATTACTTCCCCCAAAAAGTAATCCTGTTACTTTACTGATTACTTATTTTCAAAAGCAATTAGTTACTTAGTTACTTAGTTACTTTTTAACAAAACGATTTACAACCTGAAGAGGTGATAAAGCGATAGATCTTTGAGCTCAGTTCTATTATTTCTGCATAATCCATCATACAAAATGTAATCAAATGGAAAAGTCTCTTTTTAAAACTTGTTTTATTAGTTTTAATCGTTTAACTTTACGCATGAAGCAAACATTAACATTCTCTGACTGGAAGAAATTTGTTTAACATTTAAGATAAGATGACCTTTATTAATCCCACAGGTGGGAAATTTGTTTCGTTACAGCAAAAGTACAAAGTTATGTAGCAGAAATTAGAAGACACTGGAATGGAATAAAATGAAATACTATATACAATAGAATAAAATAGAATACAAATGTTATATACAACAGAGTAAGAAAAAAGTACAACTTTGTCAGAAAAAGAGTATTGCACTTAGTGTTATTGCACATGTGTGGATGTGTTTGATCAGTTGGAGTCTTTGTTGTGGAGTCTGACAGCAGTGGGGAGGAAAGACCTGCGAAATCTCTCCGTCCCACACCGTGGGTGCTGCAGCCACTGAAGGAGCTGCTCAGTGCTGTCACAGTCTGCTGCATGGGGTGGGAGATGTTGTCCAACAGGGATGACAGCTTAGCCACCGTTCTCCTGTCACTCACCACCTCCACTGGGTCCAGAGGGCATCCTGGCCCTGCGGATCAGCCTGTTCAGTCTCTTCCTGTCCCCAGCAGAGATGCTGCCACCCCAGCAGACCACACCTTAAAAGATAGCTGAGGCCACCACAGAGTCATAGAAGGTCTTCAGGAGTGGGCCCTCCACTCCAAACGACCTGAGTCTCTGCAGCAGGTACAGCCTGCTCTGCCCTTCCTGTAGAGGGCGTCTGAGTTATGAGTCCAGTCCAGTCTGTTGTTCAGATGAACACCAAGGTACCTGTAGCTGTCCACAGCCTCGATGTCGATACCTTGGATGTTCAGTGGTTGCAGTGGAAGCTGAGCCAGGACCAGCCGCTCCAGGGTCTTCATCAGGTGGGATGTCAGAGCCACCGGCCTGCCTGTGAAGGGTCTGAGGTGTCAGAGGTGGAGCAGCAGCAGTGGGGGTGGGTGAGTCTGCAGCCGATGTTGTAGACTGTCTCATGGTTGAATCAAATCTGTTGAAGAAATGATTCAGTTCATTTGCCCACCTCACATCCCTCCCAGGCAGAGAGTTCTGCTGTTTGTGGCCTGAGATGGTTCTGAGGCCTCTCCAGACTTCGCCGACGTTGTTTTGCTGAAGCTGGTTCTCCATCTTCTGCCTGTAGCTGTCCTTCCCATTCCTTATCAGTCCCCTCAGCTCTCTCTGCACCTTTTTCAACTCCTCTTTGTCTCTGGATTTGAAGGCCCTCCTCTTCTGCTTGAGGACAGCTTTAATTTCTGGGGTAATCCAAGGTTTGTTGTTGGAGAAACTCCGTACAGTCCTGGTAGGTACGGTGTTATCCACACAGAAATTAATATAGTCAGTAATGCATGTAGTAAGGCTGTCGATTTCCTCTCCGTGGTCGTCACAGATCACCTCCCACACAGTCGACTCAAAACAATCCTTAAGAGCCTCCTCGCTCTCCTCTGACCATCTCTGCACTGTGCGGGTGGCTGGTGGCTCCCTGCGCACTAAGGGCTCATACACAGGGACAAGGTGCACCAGGTTGTGGTCAGATCTGCCCAGTGGAGGGAGAGGTGATGAACTGTATGCCTCTTCAGCATTGGCATACAGTAATTCCAGTGTTTTATTGACTCTGGTTGGGCAGGTCACATACTGGGTGAAGGTGGGCAGTGTGGAGTCCAGTGAGGCATGATTGAAGTCCCCTGATATTATGAGAAGGGCTCTCGGAGATTGTGTTTGCAGTCTGCTGACCACAGAGTGGAAAGAGTCACAGGCTGCATCTGTGTTGGCCGAGGGGGGGGCATACGCTGTTATTGCGAAAACATGCGAGAATTCCCGGGGCAGGTAGTACGGACGCATGCTAACGGCTAACAGCTCAATGTCTCTGCTGCAGAGTTGTTCTTTCACAGTGACGTGCCCGGGTTACACCATCTGTCATCTCAAACACTGCCACTCCCCCTCCTTTCCTCTTACCGCTGTCTCTCGTCCTGTCCGCTCGCAGCAGCTGGAATCCCGGTAGCATCACGCTCGTGTCTGGTGTTAGCGGTGTTAACCATTTAAACCTATTTCCAGCATTCAAAATAAAATAGTTCTTTGTGTTTACACTCAGTCTTTCAAATAGATGCCAGTGAAACACAGCAGTGAATAAATAAAATCAAACACTAGCGGTCCTGTTGCTCTATTTTCACCTGTATAGCAGGAGTGGGGCAGGCGGAGGTTTACCCTGGTGCAGGTGTGCCGCGGTCAGTGGAAGGATCCGGGAGTTTCTCATTCCCGTGGTAGCTACTCGGTGCTTGCTTGGAAGTTTAGGGGTTTTCTTCCCACGCACAGCGGACACTAATGTTTTTGTCACTTTTTATGGAGTCAAACTCAAAGTAAGGTCAGTACTTCCACGCTTTAAATGCTGCAGCTCATACTCTCTCCGCACTCGATATATGATCCACTGTTGATCTGCACACAGCTGTTGTCACAAACGTCGCACTCGCTTACGTCACTGTCATGAGACATTCTCGCAAAAAAATCACGGTTTTAGTAACGCAGTAACGCAGCGTTCCTACGGGAAAGTAACGGTAATCTAATTACCGTTTTTGCAATAGTAATCCCTTACTTTACTCGTTACTTGAAAAAAGTAATCGAATTACAGTAACACGTTACTGCCCATCTCTGCTGATTCGAATCGTGGATCGAATCGATTCTAGAAATCAGTGAGGACCAGCACTAATTCATGGCACATCTGGCTCGTTTTGTCCCGTCAGGGGGCAGTAAAGCCTGCGCTGTGGTGGAAACAGAGTGATGATGTTTTTTAATCTTTGAGCGATAGGCTGAGATCATGACAGAGAAAATCCATGAAACTCCTTGAAGATTGACTCAGTGCCACAGACAATGTGGTAAAGCGAGGCTGACTAAGAACACACTCTGAGAGAGAGAGAGAAGCGTGTCGGTAATTATTGTGGCTCAATAATAGTTCCTGCTCTCACTTTTACCTCGCGGACAGAAAATGGGAGTTAACCATTTCACCTGGGAAAGACCTGATCACTCCGAGCCACCAATCAGCTTCCACCTCCGCCTGCACCCCGCCCAAGAGAGAGAGGGAGCGAGAGAGCGAGAGAGAGCGAGAGCTGATGCGCAGCAGCATGCTTCCACATCGTGAACACCTCCTGCTGCCTGAGGATTAGAGCTCACACTCCAATCTGCGCTCAACTTCAGCGGCTGTGAAAACCTCGTTCGGACTCGGCACCAGAGTGTTTCCTCCAAAGTTCCCGCTGTGCAAGAAGCAGACGCGTGCATGGTTATGTAAGTATTTTCCCGGGGAGGGCGCGGGGTGTTCGTCCCTCCAGGACTTACCGAGAGAGTTAGGAACGAGAAAGAATGCGACGTCGCCGGGCAGAGTGCGCCTCGCTGCAGCTCTGAGCTCCACATGTGCGCACAGCTGCGCGCACATGTGGAGCTGAGGGAGCGGAGCGCGATCTGAGGCTCTCCGAGGAGCTTCTCCGTGTCTGCGGCGGAACGTAACTCCGTTAAAACAGTTTTAGTTAGCGCGTAATACACGTGTAATAACCGTGTAATAACAGCCTGGCTGTTCCGGTCAGTGAGTGCACAGCGGAGTGCGCGGGGACGGAAGGTCAGCGGGTTTTTCTTCTCTCGGTGGTTTGTGCGCTGTGAACGCGCGCACGGTGAGTTTACCTTCTGTGCGCCTGACAGTCCTGCTGTCATGGCAAGTATGAACACATGTGCGGCACACAAGTGAAAGTACTGATATGAGCACGCGAGGAGACTTTAAAGAGAAACGGCTGAGGGGAGAAATCTGCGGGGGGGTCACCGGCGGGGGCGCACGGAGCCCTCGTGCTCCAAAAACACACCAGCACGGAGCAAACATGGTGGACGTGTGTTAAAAATGTCCCAAACCAGGGGCGGATCTAGAAAAAGGTGGAAATCAATGCTGCTTCCTGTAATGTGTCATGCATGTGGTTAAAATACAGCAAGTACACACATGTTTCATATAAACACACTCTGTAATGTTCGGATTGGCTTCAGCCCACAAAATCAAACGTTCCAGTTACACAAAACGTGAATTTAGATTTTGTGCACTGTACGGCAAACAACAAATAAGCATGTGGCCCAACGTGATCAGCTACAAACACAAGTCTAACTAAAGTCTCACACTGTTAATATTTTATTAGGAACAATCAAACTGTTTCATGCTTAAATTTACACAAAACGTCAGAAATCCGTCAAACCGAATTTTTCACGACGTATTGCGTTCACGCTCTGGGCTCCAGCTGTTTTCATAAACTGTTTGCCTCACTTTATTTGGGGTCAGTCTTTTCAGTTAATTTACAGTTTCTCTCGCACTGACACACTGTGCTGTCAGACAAAGGAAAAGTTACATTGTTACTGTAACAAACATATTTAATGCAAATAAAACTTGTACATTTTAAAAACTTTTGCAAACAACAAAGTTATCAATCAGGTGTTCTGCATCAAATAAGATGCCACACATATTATTTGCGCCTCTCCAAAAAATAGTTTCTGTTCACTGTAAGAGCGAGGGGCACATCACAGCCTGATACCTGCAGGCCTGACAGCAGCAGGTGTATCCCTCCACCTGTTTCACACCTGCACACAGCGTTTACACTGCAGCCTGCCTTTGGTGGCAGCTGTAGAATTTTTGTGGTGGGTTGGGTACGACGTCTGTTCCTGAGATTACCAAGATTAGGAGGTTCCCATGACATCATCCACATCCTAAAGGTGAAAAAGTGTCTGAAACTGAAGGTTGAGAGTGGCCTGAGCTTCAGGCTCAGGGATTACCCAGCATGCACTGAGCTCATTACTAGAAACCGTGTTTAATATGAAGATCCATCATGGAACAGGAGGAATATGACTGGAAATGAGGAGAAGAAGAAGAGCAGGCCACCTTAGCTCGGCTCCATACAGAACTGCAGCGATTTGTTATATTTTAAGCAGATTTGATAAATGCGATCTCTGTGGTTTGAAATCAGTGTTCTCATAGTTCAAAATGAGTTTCACACTGAGACTGAGGTTCTGGGGAATTCTGACCTGCAGCTTCTTTGTGACTCAGCGTGGTCAGAAAAATGATAAGACAGTGACTCACTCTGCAAAGGGTTTATTCTGGATATCACATCATTTGTTTACAGATCATTCATAAATATGCAGTTAATAATTCCTCAAATATTTCCCCCAAAAACATCCAGCAAATTTAATCTGTTAATAAATGCCAGAAAACGAGAGCTGTTCAGTCTCTCTCACCTTAAACAAATAAACCTTTTACTTCCTTGTGTGAGCTGGAGTCGTACAAGAACCCAGCCAAGCAACATTTGCATAAGCACATCTGGCAGTGGGACAGAAAACCTGCAGACAGACTTGATGTGTCATCTGAGGCATGGTGACTTTTATTTTATGAAGTGTGAGCATAAACCATAGACTGTATCCAAAAGATGGACGTGGTTGCCAAGGTGTGACCATCAGTTTGTGAACATTTTGTCACATTTAAGGCCGTCTGCGTTTTGGAGGCACAGGACGTGGTTAGCTTGGTGATCAGGCGGGAGTGTCACACAGATGCAGGCCACCCAGATTTTTCTGTGGAACTCCAAAGAATTCCATGTTTTTATAGAGCAAATAGAAAATATTCTCTAATCGTTTGAATTTACTTTTCCTTTTAATAACATTTTTTATGATAAAAAACGTGGATTTCTCTGCGTGCGGAAGTCGGCATCGGCAGACACAGAAGCCGCCACGAAATATCCCGAGACCTTCAGGAGAGTCCCGTCGTAAGATGATGCTGAAATGATATTTAAGTGTTTTAGGAAGCCCATCGGAGCGGGCACGCTCCCATTTGTGCAACAATTTTTAAATTCCAGTAGAATTACAAAGACGTAACCTAGCGCAATCATTTTTGGTTTTTTGCTTATGAAACCAGAGGAGTCGTACTTGCATAACATGCGTTCAGCTTGTCCGCGGTCACGGTTTCCTTCCACAAATGGCTTCTTGCAAAAATCGGGTAAAAAGCGCTGGCAAGAACAAAAACATTATAATCCAGAAACATGCGATCAGTTATTCATAGCACTTCCTATGTTGGAATAAACGTCAGCGCGAACTATCGCACGTTACCTGCAAAAACCAAAAGTGACGTCATTTTTCGTGGAAACGTAGTTCTTTCATTACAGGGCCTTAAAAGCTGGTTTTCTGTTTGACTTTGTGCCGCTCTGTGTAGTTCCTGAGAGGCTCCGAACTCAAACTGCACTGTTGGAAATCATTTATTTTAATGCTGTTTTTTTGCAAATTGTGCACAATAATATTTATTTTCAATTTTCCTGCTCATCAGCAATATTAAAATAAAATCCCAGAATTTCACCAACATGGAAAAACTTTGATCAAAATGCTCCAACAGTACAAACACAGTCCAGAGGTTCAGCTCATTGACTCCAGTTAACTGAGGTGAAGGCTAGCGCACAGCTAGCAGCTACAGCTCCCTGTGTCACCCTGCACGTGTCGGTGAGAGAAGCCACGCCCCCAACCATGCAAACTTGAATCCAGGTGAATTATAAAAACATGTGCGCAGGTGTTATAGAGGAGGAAAGAATCCAGCAGTTTGTGTATCAGGTTGTAAACATGTTTATTTCTGCTGTTTTAACATGTGACTCGCCGCAGCCTCTGCTGGACACTCGTGGAACTGCAGGTTTTGGTGCTTCAGCTGCATGAAGCTCAGTGCTAGAAAGATAAACAGTCCTGCAGCTCAAGCGTGAAACATTCACCTCTGACAGCAGAGCAAAGGCGCCGTCACTGTGAAGCTCGCCTCCTCATTTCCTGTCACGTGTCTGCTGCTCCAGCGACGGTCTCTAATAATGAGGTCAGTGTGTGTTTATCACCCTCGCCGCTGCGTCCGGCGTCTGCTGATCGCCACAGTCCCGTGTAGCATGGTGTTCTCCACCTGAGGCAGGACTCTGATGTACAGACGATGTCTGCACATTGTCTTTCTCATGAGAGGAGGCGTTCCCTTCAGAAAAGGCCCACAGTAAAAGTCCACTGTGACCTTTACAGGTGTTTATCACATAAATGTGCCCTTGGGGCTGATAATGTAAAGGGTCCATATTTCCACCATTTCTCTCACTCAGTATCAGCAGAAATGTAAAGCCAGGATCATCAGAGCCGGAAAAGGTTGGATTGGTGCTTTCTTATCCAATAAGGAGCGATATCTGGAGATTGAAGCTCTGGAAAGCTCAGTCTTAGAAATCTTGGTTTTGTTGAGGTTTCTCTAAGTGTTCGGTGCATCTAAGCTAAGTTAAAGCACAGGTTTCACTCTGTGGCTGCTGCAGCAAGGAGCACTGAAGCTTTGGCTCGTCCACAGTCGAGCGCCGTGCATGATCGACATGTGCATGCGTGGATAGCAGAGGCTCAGAGCGCTCCGTTTTCAGAGTCTGGGGTTTTGATGTTAAACATCGAGCCGTTTATTTGTAGCTCAATGTTCTGACAGAAGAGCTGCAGTTCTGTGAGGAGTCCTGGTGTACAGTTCAAAGTGGGAGCTCGTGGCAGTTTGTGTTCTTCGTGGCTCTGCTGGAGGAGCCGCATACCTTCGTTCTGTACAATAGGAGCCGAAGCACACAATGTATGAAGTCTAAAGGCTCCATCTGAGCTGGAAGGGGCCATAAAGTACATGACAGATGAGGAATGCTGCCCCCAAAGAGTTAGAGAGAGACCCCGAGGAGCTGACCCCTCCCACACACACACACACACACACACATACACACACACACTCTTTGGGAGTGAACAATCCCCTCTTGCAATGCGCTCCTTAATCTGCAGCCACCAGACACAACTTTGATGTGAAGCCCCCCCCTCTTGTCCCTTTCGCTGGGCCCCTCGTGCTGCCCTCCATCCTTCCTCAGCTCCTCGGATTCTTTCTCACTTCCCTCTGTTTCTGTTTCTCGGAGCTCAAACACACGGCCTGGAAAACGTTAAAGATATGCAGCGAGGGCGAAGCAGGAAGGGAGCTAACGCAGCCGTGGTTACGTGTAGTTTTAGACGGAGAATCGGTCAGCAGGTGCAGAAACGTTACCGCCTCCAGTGTTAACCAGGAGTGGTCTGTTCTCCCACAGACAGCATGAACGATGCCTTACACCTGCTTCAACATCCACCAGGGGGCGAAACCTGGTGGATGAAAGTGGTCCCAGCTCCATCCAGGCAAATATAACCTCTGTCTCTCTTCCACAGCATGTCTTTATCCTGTCTTCCTCCCCCCGCCCCTCCCTGAGCCTGACCCGGAGGTTTCTTCCTAT